CAACACATGCCATTTCTACAGTACGCTCAACAGAGAGGCTCATAATGTCTTTACGTTCTTTACATGATAAGGATTTATTAGCTAATATTAAGGAGCCACCACGTAATTTAGTATCTCTATTGAACGAACTGACCACCTGGTGATTACTGAAATTAAATAAGGAGTTGTAATCTTTCAACCAATGTTCAGTAATACATAAAATATGAATAAGGTTACTATTTAAAAATAATTCAATTTCTAGTTCTTTGCCTAACATACCTTGTATATTTTGATGCACCAGATTAATACAGTTTTTATTATTGCTATTTTGTGAAATTACACAGTTAAGTATTGTTGAATTGTATTCTAAGGTATTTAAATTATTTTTGCTAGAGATTACCTCTATTGTCTTATTATCTAATTTAAATTACTTGGAACTAATTCCAAATCATTTGTAAAATTATTTTTCTACTCAAAAAAAGCAGGTGTTAAGGTAGCCAATAATTTGGCTGGGTTAAAATATAAATAATAAGATAGCGTATTTGCTACCAGTCTCAAACTAAACTTTGATAGGTATAACTATCTCTTGTCAAAAACTTCTTAGTTAAATTATTAATATCAACTAAATGAAATTTATCATTATTATTCTTACAATTAAATGTCAAATTTAAGTTATTGTTACATATCATTTCAATTATGCATCATTAAATTTAAATTATATCTTAGTTTATTTTCCTGTGGCCACCCCTCTATGTAAGGCAAGGAGTGGGGCTGCATAACTAGCTGTCTCACGAATAAGTGTGTTAGTATGCGATTGTGAGACTTTGAAGAAGTTTTCAGAGAGTTTTTTAATAAATTGTTGTATGGTTGGGATTTCTAAGTCCCGATGAAGGTCGGCATTACAGACGTACCAAGGTGCGTTCGTAGCTAGACGACAGAAGTGATTTTGGACTGTTTGAAGTTCATTTATAATTTTAGAATTAGCGTGTGCAAAAATAAGCCGCGTAAGACATTACCGGTCGTATACAAACCTTATAAAGGGTTCGCTTATTTCTTAGAGACATTTTACTATGTCGACCTAACATACTGTTAAGCCTACCTAGATAGAACCGTGCTAGACGGGTTACTCTTTTGATATGAAGCTCGAAAGTAAGCCTTGTGTCAAGGGTGACACCTAAATATTTAGCAGACGTATTCCAGGGGACTGTGGTCTCTAACATACGTATTGGTGGAATATTTTTATTGATTTTGAAACGGCGTCGTTTCCAATCGAATTGAACTGCAGAGCTCTTATCCGGGTTCACATCGATGCGCCATTTTTGGAACCAAGCTCCTAGGTCATCGACTGACTATTGGATCTTGTTCCTTACGAAAGGTTGTGTGTGACCTTTAAAGTATAGGGCAGTGTCATCTGCAAATAGGGAGAGCTGTACACCATTCGACGGGATTGGAATGTCGTTGGTGTACAAGATGTAGAGGAGGGGAGCAAGTACTGATCCCTGAGGAACACCAGCTTTGATGGGGCGCTGAGAGGAGAGCGTGCCTTCGTGTCTAAAACGAAAGGTACGTTGTTGTAAGTAAGAGGCCACGAGACGTACTAGACAATCGGAGAGACCTACTCTATATAGTTTGAATATAAGGCCTTCATGCCAGACTAGGTCGAAGGCTTTGGCAATGTCGAAAAATACTGCTATGGTTTTTTGACGACGTGGATAAAAACCGCGCAGGATATATTCCACAATGCGGTGAACTTGTTGGGGGCAGGAGTGTTTCGCTCGGAAACCAAATTGGTGGGGGATGACAATAGGGTCACCGTCTGTGGGAAACAGATAGCGCCTCATTCGATTTTGAATGACTCTTTCAAAGAGCTTGCCCATGGTCTTGAGGAGGCTAAAGGGACGATGACTGGAGGTTAAGAGGCTTGCCTGGCTTGGGAACACTAATGACAGTTGCCTCTTTCCACGTAGTTGGAAAGTAACTAAGATTGAAGCAGGCGTTGAAAATAATAGCTAAGAGGGTTAACACCTGCTCTGGAAAGTGTTTAAGGGCTTGGTTGGAGATGCCATCCGCGCCCGTAGCTTTTTTGGGCTTAAGTCCTTTGATGAGGGACGAGATCTCATCATTGGACACAGTAATGGGGTCAGAGGTTATAGGGGTGAGTTCCGACGGCGGACCTCATCCTCCACTTCCTGAATATTTGAGGGGTCGACAGGTTGAGAGCTAGGAGAGCATTGTTCGGCAATGCTGTCTGCAAAGCACTCAGTCTTTTCGTCGTCCTCGAAGGCAACCGTACCGTCGGGGCGAGAGAAAGGGGGAGTGTGAGTTGTAGCGTCTATACGGAGGGCTCTAGCCATCTTATAGTACGCTGTATGTGAGGGAGATATATTCTCTATGAGTTCACTCCTTTGGAGGTCTCGAAGTTTGGAGAGGCGGAAATGGAGTTCTCGTTGAAGACGATTCGCCGTGTGCCTATATTCGGGGGTGGGATATTTTGCTGCTCTCCGGAAAGCAGCTTTTTTAGCTTTTAATAGGTTGCTAATATGTAGGGGTAGCCCACTATTATTAACAACCGGAACGACCCTTTCATTCTCCTTAAGGGAGGATTTAATAAGTGTTGAGAGTGAATCGACCGCGGTGTCGATTTTTTCAGGACTGTCTAGGTCTAAGTCCGACGATAGGTAGATGGGGGAGTCCTGTGAGTCTATAGCTTTTGCTAGAGAATCCTTGAAACCCAATTAGTAAAAGTTTTCGTGGGTGTTATGGGGGGTGGCTGATGGCCAAGAATAAGGGAGACCGGTCGGTGATCGGATCCTATATCATCTAGTGTCTCGATTGACCTGAGGTTAAGAGAAACTCCTTTGAGTAACGCAAAATCTAGTATATCGTGGGCGTAATCGGTGGCATCGGGATAGTGCGTAACACCAAGTGGACTGTGGACTGTAATGTAAAGAGACTGCAATATTTCAAGCAGTTTCTTGCCACTACGGTTTGTTGCACGGCATGTCCATTCATTATGTTTAGAGTTGAAATCTCCAAACATAATGACTGAATTGCCTAGAGTTTTTTTAAATTTTGGGTTCCTTAAACAATAAGATCTGAGTTTAAGATAATACTAAATGGTGTTAATCTGTAGTACTAATCCGCTTAAATAAACACACACACATACACACACACACACACACACACACACACACACACACACACACACACACACACACTCACACACAACACAGCAACAATTGACACTCCACACTTAAAAAACTAACAAATATTTAGGTTTAATTTCATACTTAAAAGCAATGTTGTTGATATGTTTACGTAAGTTTCTAAATCAGAAAGATTTTTGTTTTTGTATAATTGTCCCATAAGAAAGAGCACTGTTGCCTGAGATACAAGCTCAATGCTTAGTTAAGGCGCATATGCAAATGTATGTTTTTGAATTTTTTTTCCTGAATAAAGAAATTATTATTATTTCCACTCACTTCTTACGGTGTGCTGCATCTTAAGGTACCCTGCAAAATTATTAATATAAAATGGGTAATAAAATATAATTAATAGATCATTCATTAATATTCTAAAATAAGAATAATTAATTCCTTTGTATAAAGGTTGAAACATAGTTTTTATTACAATTTCCAGTTAACTTAAATTTAAATTTAACTTTAATAAAATAAAGTTAAGTTAAATTTAAAGTTAACTTATTCCATAAATTATATAGTCGTAGTAGTGTAATATAGGAAAATTACAAAGGCAGAAAAGTGGCAACGTTGAACTTAAATTGCAATATTCGATATTTTATTTTATTTTTTTGTGTTTTTTACGTTAATATGAAAACATAAACTAAAATTTACGTGTGAAAAGTGATTCTGCTTGATTAATTATGTTTTTGTGATCTTGAATCGCATTCTTTCACTACGCATTTACCCATTTTTTGTCGTGAATCGTTTGGCTCAACTCGGTCGGCGTGACATTGAACACTGAACCGACGTTAGCTTGGCATATGGCTGTGGCCATATGTGAAGTGGCAACGCTTTGGCGCGGCAATTACTTATCTAGTGTAACATATAAATCAATGTTAGAAATGGCTTGGTAGTGATCATCTCATTCCCAGGGGTTAGGCTGGTTTTATCGTCACGCCGCTAGACGCGCCGCTGGGCAGCGTGCTGTTAACAGCGCGCGCTTGAACAGCGGTGCACTATAAAACGAGATTAGTACCACGCGTTCCGCTGCTATGAGACAGTCGTGTACAAAATAAACGTTAATGCGGTTAGAGTACTGGCTGTTTACATTTTATGGAAAAGAAGGCAACAGCGATTTAATAGGAGAATAGTTGATCCTTATAACGCTACAAGGTTACTGAGAGGCGAACACGTAACATCTTTCTCCGATTTACGAGAAAATAATTATAAATTTTATAAATATTTTCGCTTATCTACAAGCAGTTTCGACGAATTACTCTGCAAGTTAGAGTTTTCTTTACGACGATCCAGCTTACGTTGCATACCCATAACTCCTGTGGAAAAATTGGCGATCACTCTAAGGTAAGTGAAATAAAAGAGTATTGAATAACTATAAATAATAATATTTATTTTGCAGAAACATGGTGGTATATGTTGTATAATTTCTAGTTTTTGTAGCTAATACTTAATCACCAACGTCTTTAATGAGGATCAATACTAGGCCGACAAATCAACTCAATACAGATACAGATTTATAGAGCTAAGAAATCATACAAATTTTTTTGTTCTACGATTTTGAAAATTGAATTGAAAATGACCTAATTACAAGCGAAGTTCACTGACTGGCCCACGACTGGCCCTATGGCGTATGGCATTAATGAGATTTATCAGAAATTTAAAAGTCATCCTAACACGGTGTAATGTACTCGTATTTTCATACAAACTTTACTGACCTAGGATTTTCTTAGTTTTGGCTAAGGTTGTCAAAATAATGTATGTCTGACTTACCTATATGTCATGGATTTCTTAACTCTATAAATCTGCTAAAATCAACTAAAATCCTTACTGATCTTCATTATGAGTCTCATTCATAACATTCATTGATTCAACTATCGAGCTGTACGCAGCAGATGAGTGAGCAGAATTTGAGTTATTATCCTCAGTTGGCGATATGACATTTGAAAAAGCTACTGCAGATTCATAGAGCTGTTCAGGTGTAGAAGTGGTAGAATAGTTATAATTAGGATATGGCGATGATCGCGTTGTGCAATTGTATGTAGAATTTGCGTTCAGACTAGAATTAACATTATTTTCTGGCGGTGATAAAAAGCTAGGTGTCGAAGTTGTTGGAGGTGAAATCTCAATGACTAATCCTAAAACCTTTGAGCGAAACTGCAGCTTTTGATAAGCACTTAAATTATTTAGAATCGGAGCAAGAGACTCAAAAAATGACAAATCATCAGTACTTAGGTTGGAAGTGGAAGTATTTTGGTTCAACAACGTTATTAATTCGTTTTCAAAATTTGATTGATCGGATTTCCGTTTATTTTTCCTCTTTTGATTCCATCTGGGAGTATCATTACTATTTTCTGTGTTTTCTTGTTGTCTTTGGAACTGGGATGGAGTACTCAAGTTACTCGCAGATGTAACTGCTTCATATGTGTCTCTAGTAGTCAAATCTTCAGATACGCTAGACTGATTATCGCTTAATGAATCTGTGACTTCATTTTCTGAAGTACGATCAAGGAATGTCATTTGCTCGAAAAACAGATACTTCTTGTGTTTTGCAGCGCTTCCCGATGGCGTATTTCGCATATTCCCTTTTGTTCTGAAATAATTATCTCTCGCTGATTTCCATCGCTGGCGTATTTGTTTATCTGCAATAAAAACATATTTTTATGCACGTAATGAAATTTAATGAAAATACTTTTTTGTTTCAGGTTTTTGGCAACGGGCTGTACTTTCTCCGATTTATCCATCGCATACAGAATGGGAATTACTACTGTAGCTAATATAGTAAATGAAGTTTGTTCGGCTGTATGGCAAAATCTTCGTCATGAATGTATACCTGAACCAACTACAGAAATGTGGCAGCGTATTACTGAAGAATTTGAATTATATGCAAATTTTCCAAATTGTTGTGGGGCGATAGATGGTAAACATATACGTGTAATAAATCCGGCAGGTGGAGGCTCTATGTTTTATAATTATAAACATTTCTATTCTATCGTCCTTTTGGCAATGTGCGATGCGATCTATTGTTTTACCTATATTAACATTGGGTCTTGCGGAAAAAACTCAGACTCTACAATATTTCAAGAGAGTTCACTTTTTCGAAAGTTACAGAACAATACATTGAGGTTACCTGGTGTAAAACATCTGCTGGGCACTAATATAACACTACCACACATTATAGTTGGTGATGGTGCATTTGGTATATCCAACCATGTGATGAGACCTTATGTGCGATCCAACATGACTCATAAAAAGAAGGTATTTAATTATCGCTTAAGTCGTGCTAGACGGTACATAGAGTCGACGTTTGGAATAATGTCCAACAAATTCAGAGTGTTCCATACTCCAATGAGTGTCAGTTTTCCTGTCGCAAAAAAGGTAGTTCAAGCCTGTTGCATATTGCATAATTTTATTAGAATACGGGATGGCTACAACGTTAATGACACATTAACTATAACGGGAATGACTGATTTAGTTGACCAACCAGATCATAGATCAGGAAACACATTACGCGATATATTCGCTGATTACTTCGTATCACCCACTGGTAGCGTGTCATGGCAAGATAGATCTGTGTTATGATTTTTTAGTTGATACCTACTTACCACGAAATTCAATAAATGGAACGAAATGCAGTAATATTGTCGTGCTTAAATTGATTTACCTACCTATCTACCTAATTAATATTTTTCATTAGTACCAGACAATACATGTAACAAAAATTATTTTATTAAAAAATTTTCTTACCTAAGGCTGTATTGAAATTTTCACCACACAATTCCTTTCCAATTTCTTCCCATGCTTTATTTTTCGCATCCTTATTCTTGTATGAATCTTCGGCCGGGTCCCATAAACATCTTCTAAATCGCACTTCCTCAATTACTCGCCCCGTGTCGATGTAATTCATTTTGTACACAACAATACTTAACGGCGCGTCTCAACGGCGTCACACTAAAACGCATACTGAATGCTGAAGCGCCCGAGCGGCGCGCGCTTCGGCAGCGCCGGCGAACAACGCGCGTTTACCGAACGGCGCTGCTCAAGCGCGCGACTTTAAAACGCAACTACTACCCCAATACATATCCGAACGCGCGCGCACCAACAGCGCAGCCGAAACGCATAACGATAAAACCAGCCTTATTATCATACATAAATTCCTTAATATTATAATAACCCTTTTTGTACAAAGTTAGATTATTAAAGTTTTTGAACTTTGAGCAGGTTTTGTATATTTTCTGGGACTTTGTTAGAATAGAATAATTGTTTATTCAATATTGATTATTACATAATTCTTATTGAAAGTAATTTTTTATCTACCACTGGTTCGGAAAATATCTCTGTCCTGGGAAGAACCAGCAAGAAACCCAGCGGGACTTTTTTTTAAAACATAATTTCGTTTATACAATTTTTAAATAATTTTTCATAGAACCAGCATGATGGCGATCACCTTATTCCCAGGGGTTATTTTCATTCATGTATTCCTTGATATTATAATAACTCTTTTTGTACAGTTTTTCTTTAATAAAACTTTTAAACTTGTTTATTGACAAACTGAATATGTCCTGGGATTTTGTTGTAAAAACGTACACATTGCCCCATAAATGAATTACTGATTCTGTGGAGTCTAGTAACTGGTATTACAAGCTTATGTTTGTTCCTAGTGTTTAAAGTATGCACATCCTTATTCTTATTAAAGCTATTTATGTTTTTATGTACATACATTACATTTTCATAAATATATTGTGATGCCAAAGTTAATATGTTTATTTCTTTAAATTTTAGTCTGAGGGACTCTTTACAATTTAGGTATTAAATCGCCCGAACGGCTCTCTTTTGCAAAACAAATATAGCTTCAATATCAGTCGCATTACCCCATAGCAAAATTACATAAGATATTACGCTATGAAAGTAACTAAAATACACTAATCTAGCTTGTCGTGAAGCGGCAATTAAAAACAAAAAAGAACCTAACCTAGCAACAACAAAACAACAAAAATAGGGCAAAACAAATAATATATTTAAAATATAAAAAAAGATGTTTACAGATTTATATAAAAAAAATGATGTATGAGAATGAAGATGGGTGACGTGATTTACAATTATTTCTAAAAAAAAAGATAACAAAAATGATGAGTATTGAAGCTGAGCCCGAAGATCCAAGTGGTACACCGCTTTTGGTGGTGGTATTCGCTGCCCACAAATTTTACACAGGCTGTGCCGGTGGTAGGCCCACAGCGCCTGGAATAAGGGCTCGCAGCGCCTGGAGCGAGCACGCACAGCGTAGGTGAAGGCGTGGGCGTGTCTAGGCGTCGACTTCAGGTGAATGCAGAGGTTTGCAAGATCCGGCGACTTCAGGCAAGACAGAGGCTTGCAGGATCCCAGCGACTTCAAGCAGGACAGAGGCCTGCAGGATCCGGCGACTTCAGGCAGGACAGAGGCTTGTAGGATCCGGCGACTTCAGGCTGGACAGAGGCTTGCAGGATCCGACGACTTCGAGCATGGCAGAGGCTTGCAGGGTCCCGGCGACTTCAGGCAGGACAGAGGCTTGCAGGATCACGGGGCAGTGCGGCACCGGGATAAGGCCTTTAGGAGATGCTTCGAGTTTGAGAACTGAAGCGAGACTGAATTTATTGGCCGATTGTTCGGCTTTTATACCTTTTTTAGAGAGAACGGAAAATTATTTAAATTAAAAGCAAATTTTTTGTAAATGTCCAAGAGGAAAAGAGTATTTATGTGGAAATATTGAAGTAGAAACAACAGACCGGTAGCAAATTTGAATAAAAATTGCCATGACAACCAGATAAACAACGATGTCAAAACATGTCAAATTTTGGTTTTAGGCTCGTAATAGAAAAAGGGCAAGATTTAAGTGAAAAATGAGATATTATTGCTACAGGAAAAAAGGTAGCGCACCAGCGCGCACAAAGCCCGAAATTGCAGAATTACGGAGAACTAAATAAAGGATCGAAAAAGGTAGACTCCATCGACACCAAATTAAAAAATGCTGATAGCGTGAAAATACGAAGTGAAAATGATTTGTTATTGTGTTCTTATGGTTTGAAAACGTTACAGGATCCTATGGAAATAAAGGTGATACAAAGTATCCAGTTTTGAGGTGAATGCAGAAAATCAAAACAGAATGGAAAAATGAATTTAAAATAGTGTAAAATGATATGTAAGTAGCATAACACTACATTTTCCCCCCGACCCTAGAAAATTTTTGACTCAGCAAAAATTTTGATATGTACATTCTAAAATAAACCATAAAAACACAGCTTTGCAGAAACAGACATCACCAGGCAAAATCAGATATACTATCTCTTACATTCATCATCTGCCATTCAGGTAAGGGTGGAGTTCACATTCAATGACTACCACTCTAAAAGTGTGTTTTCGAAAGGACATTCAGGCTTATTTAAGGAGTTGTCATCCGCTCCTGCGTGGAAAAAAAATTATTAAGGGAGTAGTCAGCCGCTCCCAAGTGAAGATAAAGATAAAGAAATATCTTAATAAACTTTAGTCACTATGACTTAAGTAAAGATTACGAACGGCCAGAGCGGTAGGGCTCAAAGCCAGAGATCAGCAACATCACCAACGAGATGTCTCTGAAATAAAACTAAAAAGTGAAGATTAACCAACGAAAATTCGAGGTCCTAAAGCAAGATGTGTTGAAGAACACTGGATCACCAAACAAACAAACAAATTAAAAGAAATAAACATAATAAGGTGAGAATGATGGTGATATTTATACATATATACAAATTAACAGTTAATAAAAGTTAAGAAAATTTATGATTTTACATCTTTGATGTGCCACTTGCCTCTAACTCCATTAGGGTCTTCAAGCACATAGACTAGTGGTGACAGTTTAGCTATCACTTTGCACTTGATGAACTTAGGGGCAAGTTTAGCATTAAAGTATGCGCCGGCATTGCTTAAAACATGGTTTTTACGCCAAACAGTATCTCCCACATTAAATTCTTTAAAAGACCGGCGAAGATCATAGCGAGCGCTATTTTTAGCGTGAGCTATGTGAAGTTTAGTTTGAACTTTGTGAAAGATAGATGAGAGGAGACCAGCATTAGACGCGTAAATATCACGAGGCATAAATATCAATTCCTCGAGGTTCTGAGTTGGAGTATAGAAGGAACCACAAGGTATTGTTTCCCTACCAAAGACTAAAAAGTTTGGAGTAAAGCCAGTAGCTACATTTGTAGCGCTGTTGATTGCGTACTGAATCTTAGTGAGATGGTTGTCCCAGGATCTATGATCGTCTCCTACTAGAGATGCTAGAGCTGTAATAATTGTACTATTAAACTTCTCCGTAGGATTAACCTGAGGACAATATAAAGCTGTGTGAAAAATAAAAGGAACGTTATAAGAATTTAAGAATGAGTGGAATTCTCGTGACTGAAATTGAACAGCGTTGTCCATTATAATAGTTTGGGGAATGCCATGAACTAGAAAAACTGAATTTTCCAAAACATTAATAATATTAGCTGAAGTAGCACGTTTAGGGGGAAAAATCATAGTATATTTAGTAAAATTGCAGTTAATTACTAGAATATACTGATTTCGTCTTCGAGTCATAGGCAATGGACCCATAAGATCTAAGGATATAGTTTGAAAAGGTCTGGAGCAAAGTTTAGGTTTACCCATAAGACTATAGGGAGAATGATTAGGGTGTTTGTAGGTTAAGCAGGTTTCACAAGTCGAGATTAAATTGGCAATGTCCTTAAACATACCAGGCCAATAGTATTTTAAAGATATTTTTTTTAATGTCTTGAAGATACCAAGATGGAGTTCTGAAGGGGAACCATGGTTAACTTCAATAAGTGCATGTCTATCTTGAGGTAGTGGAACTTCTTTCCAAATAAAGTCATCGTTTAGACGATCGGGAGAATGGATGCAGCGGTAAAGTTTGTTATCCCTGATAATGTAGTTGGGATATGCGTCTGGGTTGTTGGAGCATCCGAGAAAAATCTTGTTGTAGTGCTCAATTTACGATCAGATGGTTCTTCAATCGTAATAGGATGTACGCCTTGAGGTGAAATTTCTCGTGTATCAGGACGTTCTTGATTCTTATGTCTTGATAGTAAATCTGGAACAACGTTATCCTTTCCTTTTTTATGTTTCAGGACAAAGTTAAAACATGATAAGCGTAAAGTCCAGCGAGCAAGTCTTCCTGATGGATTCGATAAGTTTTGAAAGAATTTAAGTGCAGCATGATCAGTATATATTGTAAATTCTTTACCATTGTCTAGGTAACATCGCCAATGTTCTAACGCAGTTATTACAGCCAATGTTTCTCTTTCAGTAGTTGAGTAGTTCTGTTGATTTTTGTTTAGTGCTTTACTCATGTAAGCAATCACGACTTCTTTGTCATTTTGATGTTGAGTAAGCATTGCTCCTATGCCATAGTTTGATGCATCACAATGTACAGAGAAGGGTAGTTCGAAGTTAGGGCAAGCAAGGACAGGAGCAGTTACCAAAGCTTCTTTAAGTTTCTGGAAAGCAGCTGCAGCTTGTGAATTCCATAAAAATTTAGGAGCGTTCTTCCCGGAACAGGTTAGTTGGTTGAATGGAGAGGCAATAGTGCTAAAGTTTGGGATGAATCTTCTGAACCAGCTGCAGGTGCCTATGAATCTTCGTACTTTTTTTCTACAAGTAGGTACAGGATATTCTAAAATAGCTTTTATTTTATCTGGATCAGCACGTAGACCATACTCGTCCACTAGAAAACCAAGGTATTTCAGTTCTTTCCTGAAGAATTGACTCTTCTCAAAGTTAATAGTCAGATTAGTATATGAAAGTTTTTCATGAACTTTCATGAGGAGTGATATGTGTTCATCAAAAGTCTCGCTAATAATAACGATGTCATCCAGATAGCAAAATACCTTGTTCTCA